AAAGTTTACTGTAATATCTGACAGAAGATTGATTAGATCATCATAATTTGTGTTACAATGCGGACGATAAATGCATCCAATTAATAGATTTTTTTCGCTGCTTAGAATCGATCACTACTCGTAGTGCCTTGGACTCGCCAGGAGATCAGCTGCGCGGGTTTAGGGAAGCGTCACCGTTCTCAGACTATGGTGAACAGAGGCCGCGCTCTCCAGGAATGTCTCCTTTCGATACACCACAGTCTGTCCCTTGCTCTGTCCCGTATGGTCCCACTCTGTCCCGGATGGTCCCGCTTCTGGTACTTGGGGTCTTGGTCGTACGCCGATCCGGGACTACACGACTCAACCGTAGAGCTCTTCTAGATTCTCCACTCGAGACCGCAAACGATCGAACGATCTCCCTTCTGGCTCGTTTCATTGGGGTTCAGACGCACGCCGCTCCGGGACTACACGACTCAAACCGTAGGGCTCTCCGGGAGTTCTCCGCTCGAGACCACAGACGATTGACCGATCTCCCTTCTGGCTGATAGGTTTCTCCCCAAGCTCACGATTTCTTGCCGCATGCTTTCACCACTCCAATTCTGTACGACGCTCCAGGCTAGATGCGAGGATTTAGTTGTATTGTATTGTATTGTATTGTATTGTATTTATTAAGCAATGGACTGCTTGTAAAGCATTTATAATATACATTTTTTTGCTTAAATAACTAGTGACAGCCTTGCCACATAAGCGGAATTTTTAACGATATTCCCTGTCACTTTAAATTACATATTTGATGTACAATGAACGATAGTACTATATTATATATTAGACACTAAAGAGACTCCATACAAAAAGACGTGACTGAGATCATTATATTTATCACAAACACGGAAAGGGTCAATAAAGGGCAAAATGTTGACCTGCACAATGGCAGAGACAAAGGCCGATACCGGCGAATTGTACTGCATGGTACATTCCAGTTTAGGGAACTAAGTAGAAAGGAGGAGTCGACATCACCGTTTATTAATTTGTGTATAAACAAAACACAAATAAAAGCGGATCGCCTTGACCAAAGCCTTGTAAACACTAAAACTCAGCTACCTTTGTGTCTTCAGTTCGGAGATTCCTGAGTGATCCAATCCAGAGACGTTTTCTCGACGTAGCGATTTTGCTCTTTGTAAACGTGTTCTATCGGCGTTGCTCGCCCGAGACTGTGACTTAGAAGTTACTTGTTCACTGTCACTGGCTGATTTAGGTAGTCAACTTTGATCTATCTTGATTCTGATCTTCCAGAAGTGCCTCAGAAGTTGACTTCTTCGTGATTTGAACCCTTTTTAGGTAGTCAAATGTGTTCTATCGCCATTCTATCGTCCAGAAGTGCCTCAGAAGTTACTTCCTCGCGATTTGAACCCTTTTTGTTTTTGTAAAATGTGTTCTATCGTCTTTCTATCGCCTAGAAGTGTCTTAGAAGTTACTTCTCCACGATCGTGACCCTTTTTGTTTTTGTAAAATGTGTTCTATCGTATTTCAATCGTCCAGAAGTGACCAAGAAGTGACTTCTTCGCGGTAGATGTATATTTTGTTTTTGTAAAACGTGTTCTGTCGTGTTTCTATCTTCCAGAAGTTACTAAGAAGTGACTTCTGGACGATAGGCGATAGAAATATCGTCCGTTTGCTTGCAGGGTTATCGCTCGTTCTGAATTCGGGAACTGCAGGGTTGTGAAATTTACCAACACACACACTCCTGTGTATGTGTGTATGTGCCTTGGCTTCCCAGCGGGAAAGTGAGAAGTAGGTTTTTGTGTTCTTGAAATCCTGTTCCTTTTTGCAGGCGGCGGTGTGGGGATAAATAATTTCTGAGCGTTAAATGTGGGTGGGTTTCTGAGTAGCATCACTATCAGGCCACTTATGCGCTGTGTGATTTCTGTGGCACTACGATTATAATATTCTTAACAAAAAAATCACCAACTTATAATATTCAAAAATTCTATGATTTGCACCAAAACCAAAAGACTTGTTCTCACATTTGATTTTAAATTTTTGTAATTTTAAAATTTGTAGAAAAAATATTAATAATTGTTAATCATATAAATTAAACTATATAACTAATACCATAATGTCTATAATCATAATATTAATTTATTTTACTCAAAAATTTTACAAATAATAATAAGAATGAATGTGGGATTTAACAAAATTATAGAGAAAAGCCACGGTAAGACTATTAAAATATTTGATCACATTTAGCAAGGAATTACATTAAATTACAAAGAAAACTTTTATTGTTTTCTACATTTTCTGTGAAATAAAATAATTTAATTGTGATAATTCATGTTGGTGGTATAGATAAAACGAAAGATTTATTCGCGTGTGACCTTAACTTACAACGAAATTATGACCAAATTTTATCTGCCTTTGGCATGTTGGATTTATCAAATATGTGATGCACATCATATCAATCACAATGATTACGGTCCCTGAAAATTATGTTAAAACGAAAGATTTATTCGCGTTTGACCTTAACTTACAACGAAATTATGACCACATTTTATCTGCCTTTGGCATGTTGGATTTATCAAATATGTGATGCACATCATATCAATCACATCAATTTAAAATTTGTTGGAAAAAGTGAAAATAGTTCATTATACCCTTGCAGAGGGTATTATGATTTCAGTCAGAAGTTTGCAACGCAGTGAAGGAGACATTTCCGACCCCATAAAGTATATATATTTTTGATCAGCATCACAAGACGAGTCGATCTAGCCATGTCCGTCTGTCCGTCCGTCTGTCCGTCTGTCCGTCTGTCCGTCCGTCTGTCCGTCCGTTTCTACGCAAACTTGTCTCTCAGTTTTAAAGCTATCGGGATGAAACTTTCGTAAAAGTCGTATTTCTATTGCAGGTAGTATATATGTCGGAACCAACCGGATCGGACAACTATATCTTATAGCTCCCATAGGAAGGATAAAAAAAAACGTAAAAAAATTCTAGCTCCGGTGTTTTTTGAAATTTTACCTTCTACTCTTAAAAATATTTTTTTTCATATATTTCTGAATTTTGGTTTTTTTGTTTTTTAAATCGGATCACTATATCATATAGCTGCCATAGGAACGGTCGAAAAATTATATCTTTGTTGGTTTTTATTACATTCCCTTCTTCTCTGGGATATGACTATTTTGAAATATTTCCGAATTTCGATTTTAATTTTTAAAAGATCGAAGTACTATATCGTATAGCTGTGATAGAAACGATCGAAAAATTAATGTGAAATAATAAGAAATTTAACATTTTTGCGATTTGTAAATTAATAGAATGATCTGCAAGGGTATATAAGCTTCGGCTTGCCGAAGCTAGCTTCCTTTCTTGTTTTAATCTAAAAAACAATAAAAATGTGAGTGATAAAATAAATTTTGTCTTTTAATAATCTATATTTCGGCGTTACAGAGGTTAGTTCACAGATATTTTCGCCATTAATAAATATAAGCCTCCAGATGCTATCTTCAACACAAATTCTGCATTTCAGTGACACTTGAAATGTTTTTAGACTTCACCAGTGGAAAATGGTGTTCGGTGTTCATTAAATGGTTGTATGAATAGTACTTCGTTGTTTAACTTAATCAAAAGATTGCATTTATTTCAGCCAGGCCGATTGAGACTTCTTGGGACCAGAAGTGTTGCGCCTGCGATTGTCATATTTTATTTTTTCTTCTCATAGTTTTTGATATAGATACACGACAGAAAACAGCTAATCAGAGGGAAAATCGGCCATGGCCGAGCAAACCAGGCATAATTTCTGGAGAGATACTTTAATTTTGTGCGGAGACGTAATAATGGTACTCTTATTATTATTCCTGGTCTTACATTCATATCTAATTATTTTTGATATTTTCAGAAGACAGACAAGGCATGGATACCTAAGAACTGCATTCGGCCAAGCAAAAACCGGGAATGCTTCAGGCATTAAAAATTGTTAATTCCAATGCTGTGATTGTAAATATTATTAATAAATACACAAACAAACTTTAAAAAAAAAAAAAGATTTTTATTGTGGAAAATCAGATACTGCAAAGCAGTGCAAAACCAAAACTGCGAGGGAAAATCTATAGTCGGGAAGTCGAAAAACCAGTAAATTTTGGCCTGCGTTCTACTGCCAGAGATCCAGATAGAAACCTCATTTCCGCCTTACTTTTTGTGAAACCCCCGTGTATTTTGAAACCAGAGATGGAAGAAATGAAAGGGGTGAATGAGGTTTTGTCCCTTCCGCTTGTATGGAGAAACCTCATGAAAATATGTTATTTTTCAGGGGAATTTTTCCGGTGGGTTCTAGAGACTTCTGCTGAGACTTCTGCGGCCACAGGCTCACTAAGATTCCTGTCCGACTGCTTTGCTTCCATGGGTTCACATAGATTCCCGATCTTTCTGTCTTGAATACACGGGTTCACTAAGATTCCCGATCTTTCTGCCTTGAATCCACGGGTTCACTAAGATTCCCGATCTTTCTGCCTTGAATCCACGGGTTCACTAAGATTCCCGATCTTTCTGCCTTGAATCCGTCTGCCACGTAGAAATGGAACACATCCGTTATTTGCAACTTTCCTTGTCACATAAACCTTTGGGAACACATCCCATTGCAAACCTTCCACGCCGACGATTCTTGTTGCTTTTCCTGGAATTCTAGCACAACTTTTTCGCTCCACGCATATCCAACCTCAACTATCCCACTTCTGAACTGTGAAGGGTAGCTTTTCGAGTGGTATGTAGGTTTATTAAAATGTGAATAATTGAGTAGGATAATACATGGAAAATATAACTATAAAACGCTCTGCACACGTTGTTCTCCTGTTAGTACTCTTATAGCTTTCCTGTCGTCCCTTGACAACACTAACAACTAGGCGTTTCCCAACACTATAGGGCTATCGATAGGAATGCGAATTAGGTGCTGTTCACACAAGGGTATATATATATATGCTTATATGCTTCGGCTGGCCGAATTATTCCTATTAATACATAATGACACTAACCTCATCAGCTACGCCTTGCGCACTAATTTGCAGCTCTTCTAGCTCGGTTTTGGGGACCTGAGGAGTGGCCATTTCTTCTGATGGGTCCGCTGGCATTCTGAAAAAGACAATTTATTGTTTTATCTAATTTACATAGAGAAATTTTAGAAAGCTAACTTAATAATAAACTATAAGCAATGTATGAAAAATCCAAGTACATTTTATTAAAAAACAAGATAGAACGCTATAGTCGGGTGCCCCGACTATCAGATACCCGTTACTCATCTGAAGGGAGTGCGAGGGAGATAGAGATAAGAAATTTTATCGGACATAACTTTTTAACGAATGGTCCAATTTTAATACAATTCGATAGATGTTGATAAATCGAAATCTTTAAAAATGTGGGCGCGAGACACATTTAAAAATCGATTGTGGTTTTAAAACAATTTTAAAATCGTTAACTTGCGCTGCGTAGCTTTTGTAGTTTCCGAGATCTCAGCGTTCATACAGACGGACAGACAGACAGACAGACGGATATGGCTATACCGACTCGGCTAGTGACCCTGATCAAATATATATATATATATACTTTATAGGATCATAATTCCGCCGACATAATTCCGCCCAGTACATTTGGTCCGAGAACTTATGAAGTTTTTTTCTGGCGAAATTATGTCGCTGCTAAACGTCATAAGATCGCGCAAAATTGTGTCGTTTAAAAATTACTTGTGGCGAACTTATGTCGTTTTAAAGTGACTTAATTCCGCCAAGGAAAAATGGACATAATTTCGCCAGCCGCAAAATTGTCAAACGACATAAGTTCGCGCAAAATTATGTCGTATTAAAATGAGTATACGATAGAGGTGGAGAAAAATCGATTTTTGGGAACATCGATGTTTTCGATGTTTTTGATGGACATTTCTATTGGATTGGTGTATATTTACATTTGTTTTTAAACATATAAAAATGAACATAAATATACCTTTGCAGAGGGTATTTTAATTTCAACTAAAAGATTGCTACCAAGAGCAGGAGACAGACCGGAACGAAAAACATAGATGTTTTTAAATAAAAATACATTTTTACAATTTGGGCCATTAAGAAAGAAAAAATAATTGATTACTTTTTTCCGTTTTGAATCTGAAGAGTATGGGCTCGACAAATTCGGTGGCTTGAGACGTTCCATCATATTTGTTGTGTTACCTGATGTTTTCAAAGATTTTTCCCAGTAACTGCAGATTGCAATGGCCGGTAGTACTCTGGGTAATACTATATATTAGCGGGCTCACCCCCGAAATTCGCGAAAAAATTATCCTCGATGGACCGCGATTTCTTAAGAATTTACGTGGAAAGAAACTTGGCGGTCGGCCATGGTTCTCTTGTAATTGAATTTCAAAGTTCCCGGGTTTGCTATAAAAAACAAGTAAGCTTTTCTAACGTTTGCTATACGAATCATATATGTACCCTTTTCATTTTTTGTTAAAATAAGACTTATTTAAAATTCCAAACATCTGAGTAATTGGTATTATAGGGAACTAGTCCTCACAACCGCGTAAAAATGATTTTTAATAGTTAAATTTAAGAACGAATTTTTAAAGTTCAAAGTGTTAAATATCGGACTTTTTTTTCCATTTCTTCCAATATCTCGGCACATATCCACCCAATTGGGCCAGTTGTTGTTTAATTTTAAAGTCAATAGATCAGAGTTTAACTTTGCCATACAAATCAATATGAATGGATAAGTAATGGTAGCGCAGCAGCTCGACAAAGATGAAAAATGTGTTTTTTTGGTCCACTGTAATTCGGCTGTATATATCGTAAAAACTCGAAATAAATCCGTTAAAAAATCATAATGGAAACCAAACTTTAAGTTTACATCCCACCGAATAAAACAACCCGAGTATGGCTCAAATCCATGGAAAATCGAATTTATGGTGGATTTTTAAAGTTAGGATTTTTCAACTCTTTCGGTTGACAAAGTTAAAATTTTAGTTTTATCCTAGGCAGCGACATCTAAACGAAAATCAGTGGTGATGGCAGCTGTGTCAAAAAATAGATAAATCAGATATTTAAAAGCTAGAAAAATATAAAAAGGAATTTAATTTTTAAAAATTCCTTAAAAAATATAAAATTTTTTTTTATATTTTTCTAGCTTTTAAATATCTGATTTATCTATTTTTTGACACAGCTGCCATCACCACTGATTTTCAAAAATTAGATAAATCAGATATTTAAAAGCTAGAAAAATATAAAAAGGAATTTATTTTTTAAAAATTCCTTAAAAAATACAAAATTGCTTGCGTTATGACTGTGAGTCATTAATAAGTAATATCCATTTAAATAATTCATTCTTATAAAATAACCATACTTTCAAAAAAATTATGTTTTTTTTTAAAGTACTGCATTATCAAAAAACGAAAAAAAGACTACGAACAAAAAAAGAGGATTGTGCTTGTGATTGTGTGTAATAATGAATAAAATTAAGGAATACAATTGCATAAATGGTCCAGATTATGATTATTATGAGCAATACATTTCGACCCTTTGACAGTGAGGTAGAAGATAGATATTTCCTCTACTTTCGCATTAAACCAAATCTTGAAGAGGGTTGGACACCGAGGAGAATTTGCGAATATTGCCGCTTGACATTACTTAAATGGAGCGAAGGCAAACGGTATGTTTTTGTTTACGATGCTTTTTTGAAAAGTCCATTATTGTTTTCTTGACATAGATGCTACAAGAAGCTTGACACGCCAACAGGGTTCGTAAATATCACTCATTTTAAATATCCCTCAAAAACAAGCCGACTATGATAAAAATAAATAAATATCAATCACGATACAAACAAATTGTCATCTTTGCTCATTTAAATACATATCGCTCACTGATCGAAAAATATTCATCATGAGTGAGGAAAATAAAATGATAAGAATGTGAGGGAAAAAAATATCCCTCACGAGTGATGAAATGATCATTGACAATATTGTCAAAGACAAATAGCACAACAACTCAAGCGTGTTCGATCTATAACACAGGAACACAAAATTAAACTTTGTGAAATTTCCACGAACCATTTCAAGTTTTCCATGATGTTTGGGTGCTCCTGAGTAAAAGTCCCATACAAAATTATTTTCCATCACCTACAGGTTCCGCGGTATAGCTAAGAATACAAAAAACCGATGTTTGCCGACATTTTGAATTACGTGGCCTATGTAATTGGACCAACCTTTATTATTTTCGGTAGGACCTACTCTCAATACATCACGGCATTCCTAAAAAATAGTCCCCATTGTGAACCATTGCCCATGTCTTTGGAATTCGACGCCAAAGTTGAAAATCCCAAAATTGTAGAGATTTTTCTGATGGAAAAACAATTCTGAGGATTAAATCTTGAATGGAAGTAATTTTAACTATTCATTGTATCTATTGTTCATTGTATGCTTTAATTTCGGTTTACAGCGTTTTCATGAGAACATTTTATTGGATTTCTTATACTAATAAAACCGTTTTTTTTATTTCATTATCTACTCCTAAATGTTGTCAAATTTTAAAAAAGTCAAGGCATCCTACAGAATGGGAGTAAACATTTACATTTCTCTGTGTATGTTCAGTGAACGTATTTTAGTTTCTTAGTTTTAGAGGTTGCCATGACTTATTCAAAATTTGACAACATTTAGGAGTAGATAATGAAATAAAAAAATCGGTTTTATTAGTATAAGAAATCCAATAAAATGTTCTCATGAAAACGCTGTAAACCGAAATTAAAGCATACAATGAACAATAGATACAATTAATAGTTAAAATTACTTCCATTCAAGATTTAATCCTCAGAATTGTTTTTCCATCAGAAAAATCTCTACAATTTTGGGATTTTCAACTTTGGCGTCGAATTCCAAAGACATGGGCAATGGTTCACAATGGGGACTATTTTTTAGGAATGCCTTGATGTATTGAGAGTAGGTCCTACCGAAAATAATAAAGGTTGGTCCAATTATATAGGCCACGTAATTCAAAATGTCGGCAAACATCGGTTTTTTGTATTCTTAGCTATACCGCGGAACCTGTAGGTGATGGAAAATAATTTTGTATGGGACTTTTACTCAGGAGCACCCAAATATCATGGAAAACTTGAAATGGTTCGTGGAAATTTTTGGCTGTGTACCTGTGTAATGGGCAGAAATAAAGTATTTAATCGGTGGTAGACTTAACAGAAGATACAAAAGATGTAACCTGCGTTTACAAACCTATGAATTGCATTAAAGTCTAGATAATAGAAAAAAGTTCTTTAATCAAACTTGGTGTTAGTAGCATTATTTTGGTTAAAATTTTCCTCATTTTTTCCACACAAAATGTCAAAAATGAGGAAATTGTTTTGAGGAGAAAGCAGTATAAAGCAGTTGTGATTTTTGTCAGAAAAATATTCATCAGCCCTGCTTGGTTACTCCTCATTTTATTGTGACAAATATCACCGCCCTATGTTGAAATTATTTTGTTTGAGCAAAATGACAGATTGTTAGGGATATTTACGAACCCTGCACGCCAATGATGTGGAGAAAACCATCTTGTCATTTCAAAAAAGCATCGTAAGTCGTAGTCTTATTTTCGTTTTTTGATACTGCAGTACTTTTAAAAAAAGGATGCTTTTTTTGAATGTATGGTTATTTCATAAGAATGAATTATTCAAATGGATATTACTTATTAAAAATACTCACAGTCATAACGCAAGTAATTTTATATTTTATAAGAAATTAAATTCATTTTTATAATTTTCTAGTTTTTAAATATCTGATTTATCTATTTTTTGATACATACAGCCGACTTACAGTGGATAAAAAAACACATTTTCATCTTTGTCGAGCTGCTGCGCTGCCATTACATATCCAATCATATTGATTTGTATGGCAAAGTTAAGCTCTGATCTATTGACTTTAAAATTAAACAAAAAACTGGCCCAATTGTGCCCAATATGTGCCGAGATATTGGAAGAAATTCGAAAAAAGTCCGATATGGCTCATTCCACGTGAAACGTGACAGGCCAATTTGGGTCAAATCTCAGAATCAATCGAAACTTTTTTTTTCGATAGAGGATTGAAATATAAGGATCGGTTTTTTTTATTT